CCTGTGTCAAGCAGGGAAGTGGGAGAAATCTAATTCCCATTTTAGCTGGCGAAACGTTGTTGATAAAGACCAACAATAGTACAAAGGTGCTTCACGATTAAGGGCCACTTGCTACCTGTCAAGCCTTGTGGGAAACACCGTATGCCATTACCCCAGTTAACCCCGGTAACAAGCCTGTGACATTGGTATGGTTGTTGTCTTCACTGTATCCCACAACGATTACGACATCCAGGATGAATCACTTGCCCACAGACATGTCTGCAAAGTGATGCTCCTGGGATTGGCACTCGAGGCTACCAACTCCACTGGGCTTCCCTTTAGCTCTCTATCGTTCCCCCAACTCATCATCTTACCTTTCTTTTGGTATATATTGACTCACTGGCAAAGTTCTATTTAAAAGAAAGCCACGATCACACCCCCCCCCCCAAGTATAATAACAGAAGATGTGCTGGAACTTACAAAGCACCCATAGAATTTTTCACTTACTTTTTATATTCACCCTGGAAAAAAAAAATAGGCAGGCGTGTTCGTCTGAATTTTACAATGAGAATTCTGGGGAGTGTGAGGGGTATGGAAAGGAAGGTGTCTTTTAGTTCCTGGTCTTCTTGTCTCCCCTTCCCAAGGGCTGGGCTTATGGGTCAGTACCATTATGCCTGGGTCAGAGAATAAATTAAAGTTTACGAGTTCTTGCTCTTGTTAGTTGGTGATCACAGAACTAGTGCAGGCTGTTAGTGTTGCAGAACCAGTTAACAAGAGTGGTGTCCTATGGTCCTTTGTTCTGTATGCCCGTGTTTTCCTGTAAACCTCATGGGTTCTTAGCGTGAGCTGCTGACCCTTCTTCCTGACCCCATGATTTTCCTTATGGGAGCCCAGGAAGGTTATTACAAGTTAAGTATCTGGATGCTTGAACTGACAGGAAGGGGGGCTGCTAATGCTCAGAGGAATGAGCATGAGATGCTTGTTTTTGTTGTTGTTCTAAAGTAGAATTTTGGATCAGGTGTCCTCTTTCTGTCCTGCCCTTCCCTGTGTCCTTCCAGTCTCCATGGAAACCCCAAATCAATGCAGCATATGTTGATCCAGGTTTCTACTGTTACCGGGAAGCCGAGCAGTGGAAATTGCTTTTAAAAGATTTGTGGAAGAGCTTCAGCATGCTGACCAGAATCCAAATCTGATATCCAAATGACTTTTATTAAAAGCTCTGAATGTGGTGCTATCTGAGGTGGCATGTTGATTAAATAAATACACAGGGGGCATTTGGCAATAAACCTCTTCTTCTATCGTGGCTTTTTAAAATATTATAGTGCAGATTTTAATTCCTTTTATCATCAATTTAATTATACTCTCAGGCTTGTATGGCAATGCTCCTGATTAATTCTGCCCTGCATGGATTGGGCTGTTGGGATAGTTTATTAAAGCCCTCTGTACCTGTGCCACTGTCCCCGTACTACAGTCCCCTGAAGCTATTAGCATTCTGTGGACTTCTCTCCTGATCAGGAGACTGCAGAAGTCTTAACACATTTTCTCCATAAGGATGGCTTGGTGATTTTTCTTTTGCTTTTTTTTCAAGAATTCAACACAAGGGCTGGCAAGATGTCACTTGTCACCAAACTTGATGACCTGAGTTTGATTCTTAGGACCCACATGATGGAAGGAAAGTACGAACTCCTGCAAATTGCCCTCTGACCTCCACATGTGTGCTGTGGTACATGCCTACCACCCCCCCCCCAAATAAGTAAAGTAAATAAAATCAAAACATTTAAAAGAACTCATAAACGAGTTAGCCAGAGTGTTACACACCCACTCCGTATGAAGTGATGAGAGTTGGAAGCCCAGGGAGTCAGTCAGAGAGGCCGTCTTTCCGGAGTGGAAATCAATTTGGGAGGATTGGAAACCACAAATGAAATGGATCAACCCGATTGTGATTCAAGCTGTCAAAATCATACCGCAAGGTGGTGGGACTGGGATAGAGCGGCTCCTCTAATTGAAGTCCTTCTGAAAGAGCTCAGAAGGAGAGCTTTCAGATCAGAGGTAAAGGGGCTGGCAAAGGAACTGGGAGTTCAGACGCAGATGCAGGGCAGGATCTGAACGGAGGGAGCAGGTGCATGGGCGTGTACATACGTATTTGAGAGAGCAATAAAACCAGATAGAGAAGCAGGACCGGCTCATTGTCAGGCAAACAGTGGAGCTGCAATTGAGCCCATCAAAGATTAGTATATAGATGATCTGCTTATGGCGTCTGTTCAGTGGGTAACTGAGGTTTGTGGGTGCGGGGGGAGGAGTTGGGCAGGGAGATCTGTACTGGGAGCTGAAGAACCTCTGTGCCAATGGCTGGGAGGGGAATGAAGCTAAGGAATAATTCAGAAACACAATGATCAGATTGAAACACCAATTTAGCAAGAGGAATGAAGAAGATGCCAGAAATATCTGCACTTGTTACCCCAGGGATGAGGATGCAATGATGTCATGAGCAAACAGAGGGAGCCCTGTGGGAAGGAAGGGAGGGCTGAGAACAAGGTTGCTGGGGGATACCTGGAGTCTGTGGCCTTGGGGTTCCTGGAGCTGTCCAGCAGAGCCCTGCTGGTGCAGCTCTAATTTCAAAGGGGTGCAGGCTGGTCTGTGCCTGGAAAGATGGTTCCCAAGGGGAGTGCTTTAAAATGGAAAGAGCAGAAGGGTCGCTGCATTGCCTATAGAGCCAAATCAGGGCTGGTCACCTTTGCTGGGAAAAAGCAGGAGCTGGGGCCAGTTTTCAGCCAGGGAGTCAGGAGCAGTAGCCACAAAAGCTTGACATTCCAGTCATGGCTCTAAGCCTAGGAGGAAGATGGAGTCTAAGTGGGTAGATTCCAGCCTTCTAGAACTCTACGGTTCTTGTCCTTTCCTGCCCCATTCATCCAGGAAAGAATCCCAAGGTAGGATGCTCGACTTTGGAGTCAGCTTAAGGTTTACCTGGATATTTTGTTGTTGTGTCTTAAGACAGAGACTTCCTCTGTACCCAGACTGGCCTCAAACGTGCTTCTTCTGTCTCAGCCTTCCTGGTGCTGAAATGACACCCTGTTTCCCTCTGGAGCTCTTTCTGGTGGAGTCTTCCCATAGACAGACTGCATTAGGTTTGCACTTCTCCGACTGGGCAATCTAAGGTTCCATATTAGTGCCTAGGAGTATTTTGGTAGAAACTTTCAGACAAGTTTTGACTGTCTTCTTTTCCTAACGTTCTCCATCCCCCTTCTTTTCTTTCCATTTCACCCTTTCCTTTAGACTTTGTTCATTACGGTGTCTTTCCTTGAACATTTGACTTACTGCCTTTCGAGAGCGCATTATTTCTAAAGCTAATTGAAGACTCTGATGTCTGGTTAGTATTGAACAGCTCCTGCCCCAGACTCAGGTCCTTCAGCAGCCTCATAGCCATTCCCTAGTGCTTTTCCTCCCTGTGTAGCAGACAACACAAAACTCTGGGAAAACCTGTGCCCCATATTAGCCCTGGTGGGGAAGAGTCTGCTGACATCTGTTTTGTGTAAGAGGGAGGGGCATGGCAGCACTAAAGTAGACGCCAGAAGCCAGTTCTGCTATTTATGAATGACTTGTCTCTATTTTTCCACCTGAAAAGGGGGCTGATAAAGATGTTGGCTTTGAAAATTTGTTGTGAGCACTAAATTAACTCAAGTGCAATGCTGGGCACAGTGTTTAGCACATACAAAATGATCCTTAGACATTAGCTTTGCGGACTTCCCCTTAGGGTATAAACACATCTTGGGAAAGAGAAGTATTTATCCGTGGGATTTTTTTCTTATGGCACAAAACACCAGGGAAGGATCTAGGAAGGGAAAAATTCTCTTTCAGCTTGACTCTGAATTCTAGCTAGCATCGTGTTTGAAGACATTTCGCTTGGTAACATGAAGGCACCTCTATCTAACGGAGGGACGCTATGGGCATTATTAGAGAGGGAGCAAGAGACAGAGTGAGTCACTGTGGGGGCAGGATTTCTATTTCATCCTAGCACCAGGCAATGAATGATTACAACACATTAATTTCACTGTCAGAACAAGGGTCATGCACCAATAGATATGCTCAGATGGCCCAGCATGACATAGGAGCAAAAAGCTCCCCTGTCAGAGTAATAAGACACAAATTTTGGTTCTTATGCTGCCATTCTGTATTGTACCACTTTAAAAAAGGAACTTTATCACCTTTAGCCTCAGTTTTCTGGTGATAATAAGCTTCCTGATCATATTATGCAGAATTGTTGAATGATGAGAAATGAAAATGTTTTATACTGGATCTGTGAAGGTGGAGGTAGTGCAGGCTGTCCTTGAACTCTTGATCTTACTGCTTCAGCCTTGTGGGTGCTGTAGCACAAACCTAGTTTTGCTTTAAACATGTAATACATGTTAAAGGAGCTGGACCTGAAAGCACAGGCCCACAATCCTAGCTATTTAGGAGGCTAAGATAGAAGGGTAGCAGTTTCTGCCTGGGCTACAGAGTGAGTTGAAAGTCATTCTAAGCAACTTAAGGAGCTCCTGTCTGGAAAAGAAAAAAAAAATAAGAGTAAGAAGAGGGGCTGTGAATATCGCTAAATGGTAGAGCACTTGCCTAGCATAGGTAAAGCCCTGGTTCAGTCCCCAACATTGAACAAGTCAAATGAATGGAATCCATTACCTTCGTTACAAAGTCTCTACTTTCTATGGAAACATCTTCTAACTTCTGGCTTGAGAAATAACTTGCCACAAAGGCCAGGTGTATTTGGAGCTGGTTCCTGAACCAACATTCCAACAGCCATAGACTGAGAGTGTAATGAAGAAGAAAAGGCAAGCTTTAGCCCAGAGGAATCTGCAAACTTCAGCGTGTATCAGAATCCCTGGGCAAGCTGGGCACCACTTGTAGTTTCTGTCACCAAAGGTCTCTGCATGGAGCCTGAGCAGTAGCGTGTCCAACACATTCCCAGGTGATGCTCAGACTGCCAGTCTGGGTACCACTTTCGGAGAACTAGGACAAACAGGAAGAATCTTCCTTCTGGAACAGCAGCAGACAGTGTGAAGATCTCTGTGGGTATTATAGAGGTTTGGAAATAATATTGAGGGAGGAAGGAAGATAGAAACAGAGATGATGAGCAGATCCGGCAGAACAAAGGAAAAAGTCTCACTCCATCACAAATGCAAGTCGGGGGGAAGTTGCTAGGTGATGGATGAGGAAAGAGGTGAGTTTCTACTGTAGGAAAAACCAGGTGAGAGGCAGGAGCATAGGGTTGGAAATCTGCACGTTCCAGGAGGCAGAGGAGGTGGGAATCTCTCCTTAAGGAGCGGGGAGCGGTGTGGTTGGTCCTGATGGGGTGGGGTGTTGGGTGGGAATGGGCTAGGGGGAGAGATTCCGCGGCATCGAGGAAGGGGACAGCTGAGACTTGGCAGAGAGGGGTAATTTCAGGGCTATGTGGTTTGGCTTGGGAGCTCAGTGCAATAGAATTGGGAGAAAGGGGGTGGAATTTAGATGTGCGACCTGCCCCGTAGCTTTCTCGCTCTCTGCATTTATCACATCACATCACACCCAGCAAGACAGGCCCCCTCCTCCTGGCTCATTAGGAGATTTGATTCGGCTCGGCTCCTGCTGTCAGCAGCTGTCTGGGGCAAGATCTTTATGCTCCCTGCTCCCCAGCGCAGCCACCAGCCTCCAGCCTCCCAGGCAGCAGCGGAGCTCATTAGAAAGGCACCCTTCCCCGGATTTTTAGCTACTTGGTGGCCTGAAAAGAGTTAATACCTACTCTTGGCTGGGGGGCAGAGCAGCTGCTGTGGGCTGGGGAGAGACTTCTCCCTGAGCTGCAGCCAAAGGAGCTGCAGGTTAGTGAGGCCGAAGGAGGAAGGTGTAGGATGCGTGCCAGGTCAGCTCTGCTTGGGGGCATCGCCTGTGTCCTGCCAATAAGGATGGGCGTGCAGACTGTGCCCGGGAGCTGAGCCGCCGCCTGCTGAGTGTAGGCTGCTTCAGTATTTACTGGATGTGACAAGCAGAGAGGAGAGCTTTTGGGGCCGCTTGCTGCCTGGCTCAAGTGGTGGGAGGTGTGTTGTGCATGCATGCTTATGTATATGTGTATGCATGCGTGAACCTATGCGTCCCTGCAAACATGCCTTTCACCTGCCAAGGATTTCACGGCTAAAAGAGAGATCTACTCTTTTCCTCAGAGCGCCTTAACCCGCAGCCTCTCTGACCATCCACTTGGCAAAGACCCGCAGGCCATGAGGACCGGTCAACGGCAGTAAGTATTGGCGCTGGCTTTCTCCTTCCTCGCTGGGGTGTCGGAAAGCTGGTCGTATTATACATATTTAATTAACCTACCTCTTCATGCATATTGATTGCTTTCTCCCCGCTGAGCTTAATTTCTCTCCTCTTTATAAATCTTTTTTTTTGCACTTATTACCCCCCCCCCCCCCCTTGAATGTCATCTTTTTCTACACTGTCGGCTCCAGTCACTTGTGATTTGGTGCCCACTTCCAAGGATACTATGGAGGGGGATCAAGTCACACTGTTGAACTTTCCAGGCTCTGGGTGACCCCTTATCTGTCCCTTATAAGTCTGTCTAAAGCTAAATGAGACAAGAGCCGTGAGGGTTCTGGATCCTGCAGCGGACAAAGCAGCTGGGGCAGAGTATCCTGTGAGTTTTCATTTAGGGAATCAAAAGCTGACCTCACTCAAGGAGTGATTTTGGAGGTGCTGGGGCGGGGGAGAGGAGACAACTGGATAGCACCAGCAAGCCAGGGTGGGGTGGCCGCAGGAAGGGGAGGGAAGAGCCACAAGCAGGGGCAGAACCCAGGGGTCCCCTGCCCTAAATGACATTGCCTGTGATGTATAAGGGGAGTGAGCTCTGGCCTGCTCAGCTGCAGAATAATAAAGGCCCCTGGCAAGATCTTCTCCCTACCCTGGGGACGGGTTTTTATAAGCAGGAGGAAATGAGGCGTAGGTGCCCGGACATGCTTTCTGGAGACCCTGAGAGCTGGAAAGGGCCTTGACGGCTGACTTCTGAAAAGCAGGTGCTCACCCACTTAGGGCAGTGATTAAGGAAATGTCCCCTGTTGTCAGGGAACATGACCCACTGGGATGAGCCTTTGCATAAAATCCCGTTCCCCCGCCCCCCCTCCCCGTTTTCTGTTTTCTTTTCAGTGTTAATAAAGTCATCCTTCTATTTTGTTAATGGTAGAATTATTCTGCAAGCGATTTTAAGAAAGTGTTTGTGAAATGTTCAGGGTAATACCATGACAATTTAAATGGCACAGTCACACAGGAGTCTTATCTATCTAAATTAGGTTCCTTTTTTAAAATGGATCCTACGTTTGGTGGCAGGGTTCCCCAAGGGAACCTTTTATGGATAGGTAGGTAGCTCTTCCTATCAGCGCTCTTTTGTGGGAACAATGGTCTGAAACCCTGCCAGTGACACTCATGGGAAAGAGAGGCTCCAAGCCAATCAGCCTTCAGCCTCCACATCTCCTTCCTTCATCCCCAAGTCTTCCCTGCCAAGAATGGGCCAGGCCGAGGAAGGTTCACCTCCTTATGAGTTAGGAAGAGTGACTTGCATATTCATCGCTGTACCCCGTGTTTGGGATCCCTGCTCAGGAGCATGCCCAGTGGTGAGGGTGTCTGGTGGCTCACCTCCAAGTCCCTTCAGCCCCCCTCCTTGCTCCCTTTTCCTCCAGCCCTGGCTCATTTCCACCTGGGACAGGTGCTCTTGGAGGGAGGTGGGAGCCAGAGCAGCATCCAATCAGATTATTTTGGAGCAAGTGTTGGCCTCTCTTCCGTGGTCCCTTCTGGACTGGTCACTTGGGCATCAGTCTAGTAAGATAAGGAGAGCAGTAATTTTTGGCTTGCCAGGCCCATGCCTCCCTAAGGGTGCATGTCCCAATTTTGACGGCCAGTGGTTGGGGAAGTAGGAATTCCTGACCAGCAGCCAGCAATGGGAAGCCTTCTGCTATTTGTTTCTGCCCATCTTTGATTGGCTACCCTTGCTAAGAACAAGCCAACCTTTGTGGGTGCTGTGGGGAAGTACTCCAACTGTGGAGAGCCAGTGGAATGGTGAATCTTACAGACAGATGTGAGAGGGTGAACCCTCTTACAGCAGACTCTTTGATTTTAGGTGAGAGGACGTGAGAGAGTAAATCCTTGAACCCCGCAGTCTTATTTCCTGCTCTGACGTCCCTGCAAACCAGCCCAAAGGGGTAACCGTAAGCGGATGCCTGTATGGCTGCCTTGCTGATGCCACGCAGGTAATGGATTAATGACCTGTCTTCTTGTCCTGCCCCTCTCTTCTTTGCCACCTTCTGGTCTCTCATCTGTCGTGCTGTTTGAGCCTGGTCCAACTGTGAAGCTCTGGGTGTCCTCTTTGCTAGTTCTCCTGGACCTCCACTGCACAGGGCAGTAGTCTTGCCTTTGCGCTTCTTGCAAAGTTAGAGCCTTGCAAGTATGATCTGCCTTAGCTCCGTGCCCTCTTGTTGACTTGGTAGAATGAAACTCTGTGAGTTACTGGGACAGGGGTTTATAGAGAAAAGGCAGATGAGAAAATGATCCTCCCCCTTTTCTCTTTCCCCTTTCTTCCTTTCCTCCCTCCCTCCTTCTTTCCTTTCCTTCCTTCTTCTCTTCCTCCCTCCCTTCTCTCCCTCCTTCTTCTCTTCCTCCCTCCCGTCTCTCCCTCCTTCTTCTCTTCCTCCCTCCCTCAGTTCCATCTCTTAGCCTTTCACTCCTGTGTCTGCTCCTATCATGTCCCACCTAAGCAGATTATAACACAAGTCTTGACTAGAAAGATAGAAAACCATTTTGTTCCAAAGTAAATTTGCTTTTGTGAACTATTTGAATGGCTCAGAGTTGTCTTGAGGGCAGGCAGTACCCTTTAAACTAGACTGTGCCAAACCTTGGCATACAAAAGCTTGTGTGGATTTGCCACTTTGTCCTGTGTGTGGCTTTGAGGGCAGTGGCTCGACTGTTTTTATGACTGATGATGATCTCTTAAGGCACCGAGTGAGCCGCAGGCTGGGGCCTGACCTGAGGGGCAGCCTGAGCAGGACCTTTGCCTGAATCCACAGTAGTGATGATTCAAAGGGCTTTTAATCATTGGCTTGAATGGCCTGGTGCTGGGTACCCTGTGACTTGGAAGAGTGAATGGACACATAAGATGCTCTGTTTCAGGAGAGAGAATGAGTGTAGCAACTGTCTTGAAAATGCCACGAGATAGATGGAGGCACAGTGCAACCTGCCTGGGAAGAGAGGTACGGGCAGCGTGGTTTCCTGCAGGAGAGGGTATTTCTGGAACCTTGGATGCTCTAGCTCTCAGGGGCTCTGTGGAGATGCGCTGCAGAATACAAATGTCCATCCCTGCCCAGCACAATACCACCTCCCTAGACAAATGCCAGATAAGATTTCTGTGAACAAAGACAATGAGCAGGCCGGGCAGTGGAAATCCATTTGAAGTTAAGGACAGTGATTGAATTGGATGGCCTCTGACTCCCGAATCTAGTTTCAGGGTTTGTGAAAAAGAGGGACTTGCTGTCAGCTTGCGAGAATGGCATGTCTTAGGACTATTCCATGACAATATCTACCGTGGCACACATGGCCATTCCTTTTGTAAGCCAGATTGAGGCCCTGGTCTGATTATACCTTTCCCCCCCTCCACTTACTTTTGCCCTTAATGTAAGGAATGGTCATGGTTAAAGGTTAAAGGTTAGCAAACTTCCGTTGCATTGAGCCTAAGAGTAAATATTTTCAGCTTTGTAAGCTGTGTGATCAATGTTGCAACTGCCTAACCCTTGCCCTTGAAGTTGAAGGCATCTTTAGACAGTATGTAAACAAATGGGGTGTTGTGTTCCTCTGAAACTGTGTACACAGGTACCTCATGGGATTGTAGTGTGCCAGCCCCTGGCTGAGGGTAAACAGGGCAAGTGAAGCAAGCACAAGAACTGTCCCAGGGGCCACTGGGTCCCCTGTTGACATTGTCTGTCGCTCTTCTCCCTGTGGTCCATAGACACCCATGCACACATAGCCTGTCTTGGTGAGGTGAGCCGAGAGAAGCTGATTGGGAATGGACTTTCCTTGAATCCCCACACTGTGTGTTCGGACTCGCTCTGTTGTGCACCCCTGCCTTTTGAGGTTCCCCTCTCTTCTGTGTGAAGGCCCTGCTTTCATGGCCCTGTAGTTTGGGGTTGCTGCCCCACCCCTTTGCCCTTCTATTGGGAAAGCAAAATTGCGGATTGCTATCCTGTCACTGCTGTGTTTTCACTCCCTACAGAGAATCCTAATTTAGAAATTCTCCCAACTAATGACCTCCACTGACTTACCATCAACTTGCCATGTCAGTTTTAAAAGGCCTTCAGCCTCTACGGGAAGGGCAGAAGGAAGGGCCCCACACCTATTATTACTATGCCTATAGTGACATAAGGCATGAGCACAGCCCTTGCCTCTAGTCCAGCTGATGGAGTCTTCAGGGGCCACCTGGGGTGGGGAGAGCGGCGGGTCCAGATGTCTTTTATAGACCTGGCAGTTGTGATCATGACAGCCCCCTTCTTTCTGCCTCCGTATCTGCTGCAGGAACAAAGGTATGAGGACTCGACTGGGGTGCCTGTCACACAAATCCGACTCTTGTAGCGACTTCACGGCCATTCTTCCCGACAAACCCAACCGTGCTCTCAAGTGAGTGGTGTGTCCGCCTTGCGTTCCTGGGTACCCACACTGCGGGATGTCTCTGGGACCTTTTGTCTTTAGTGAGTTTTTGAGCAGATCAACCACAAGACGATACGCTCTGGTCTCTTGGCAGCTCCTTTCCTACCCCTGCATGTGAGTGACAGGAAGGCATAGCTCGGTGACATCAGGTGGGAGCCCTCATCCTCCTGAGAAACAGTATAGCCATCAGTGTCCAAAGCACTGGGTGGAGAAGTACAGTTCTTTATTCTACTTACTTGCCCATCTACGCTCTCAATTTGGAGATAAACATCCAAAGTTAATCTAAAAATACACTTAGATTCAGACTGCCCAGATTCTGCACCTAGTCTATGCAGACACTGTATTCAATGATGTCCCAAATGTCTCCTTGTTTCAACTTCACTCACCTCGGAAAGGGGCATCGTTGTCTCCATTCCAAGGGGTGACGAATTTGAGGTGACAGTTAGAGGCAAGCTGAGCCTCTTTTATTCCGAGACTAGCCCTGCCCCCCACCCCATCACCCTGACATCTCGAAATTACATAGCTCTATGTACTTTTATTGTTCAGACCAAGAGTAATATACGGGGTTCTCTGAACTCCCATCCAGGGCGACTCTTTTCTCTGGTATTGGGGGACAAAACCCAGAACCTCATTCGTGCTAGGTAAGCACTTTGCCACTCCGCTATAGACCCCCCCCCACTTAGAGATTTCCCCAGCTGTTACTTGGAAAGTACTGATTTACAGCAGAATCGCAGAGACCCAGGTATGGCATGTATTCGCTCTCTGCCAATCTGAGGAGTCCTGGGCAAATCTGAGGGGTGGCTGGGGGAGAGGAGATGTCAGAAATACTCAGAGAGATGCTGTTGCTTCCTAGGAGACTCTCCACAGAAGAAGCGACGAGGTGGGCAGATTCCTTCGACGTGCTCCTCTCTCATAAGTGTAAGTAGAAACCAGGTCACATCAGGCAGGAGCAAATCATCCATGTGGCAAAATATACAGCGAACACCTCCTGGGCTCAGTACCCTCTGCTGAGACCCCAGCCCTCTAGAATTCTGTACGCAGCAGGAGCAAAGAGACATTTTTAATGTAGTGGGGTTAGACTGTATTCAAACCATAGAGACCCAAGGCTCTTAATCATTATTTTATATTACATTACATTATATTATATTACTTTTTTATTTATCAGATCTGTGCTCTCACTGTTGACCCGTCTTCGTTATTAGATATTTGGGTAGGCATGGTGGAGGGCCGGGAAGGTAATTCAGTGGTTGAATACTTTCCTAACGCCTGTGAGGCTCTGGGTTTAACCCTCTTTGATCCTGTTTTTGAGCTGGGGTCTTTTGTAACTTAGGCTGGCCTCAAACACATTATAGAGCCAAGGACGGCCTTGAACTCGGGCTTCTCCTGCTTTCACCCACCACCTTCCCAGCACTGGGCTTACAGGTATGTCTCACTGTGACTGGCCAACCAGCAATGTTAACGAGACAGAAGTCAGCTTAGGTAATGGGAGTTATGGGCCGACCTGAATGAGAAGAACCAGGCTAGATCTCACACAGGGGAATTGACTTTCTTCCTCCAAGTCACTGGGCTACTTAGTCAAGTGAGTATTCTGTGTATTTTAGCAATCCCTTGGATTGACAGAATTTCACTCTTTATCTCAAGGGATGACGATCTCAGCTGTTTTGTGCCCCCACTTCCTGGCTAGAATACGGCTTTGCCCTCCCTCCTCCTCTTCTACTTCCTCTCTGTTCAGCTGTTGTGTCTTTTGTTTCCTGCAAAGGCAGGAAGAGTTGTGCATATTGCAGTGTTTAGAGGGCAGTTTATCATTACTCAGCGCTTCAGCTCTTTTTTTTTCTCACATGAGCAAGTCCAAATTTGTTGGGCTTTGAAATCCCTGCGGCGTTAAGCGCATGGAAGTGGCAGGGCAGGGGCGGGAAGCAAAGAGGGGGTGTTCTGAGGAGACAGGAAGGCTGCAGACAGACATTCGGTGTTCCTCCTCAATTCATCACGTCAGTGTGAGATCTGGGAGCAGAAGGGCTGCTTGCATTTTGCTATTTAATCAGGGGATATGTTTCTGGACAATTAAGTTGAAGGCTGTGGGTGGGATTCAGATCTGGGCTTTCACTGTCGACCTGTCTTGGTTACTAGATACTTGGGCAGTCATGGTGGAGTCCCTTGGTTTTCAGCAGATGCCATTAAGTGTGATTTTACTTGTCCGGGTTTGGGAAGGTGGCTCGGGGGTTCAGTACCTGCCTAGCGTGTGGGAGGCTCCAGGTTCAGTCCTCAGCATTGTGCCATCGTCATCTTCATCATCACCATCATCCGAAAACAAGAAGTGATTTGGCTTTTAATCTGATGACATTGCTTCTTCTGACTTTGCCTCTTGTTGTTAATAAACAAATCAACAAATACTTTATGCATGAAGGGGTATATGCAAGTATGCATTTGCGTGTGCGTGAACCTGTGTGCACAGGTGTGTGCGCGCACATTTGTGCATGTGTGAGGAGGCCAGAGGTTGCTGTCAGGTATCATCTTCTACCATTTTCTACCTTATTTATAACATCTATCTATCTATCTATCTATCTATCTATCTATCTATCATCTACCTACCTATCATCTATCTATCTATCTATCTATCTATCTATCTATCTATCTATCTATCATCTACCTACCTATCATCTATCTATCTATCTATCTATCTATCTATCTATCTATCTATCATCTACCTACCTATCATCTATCTATCTATCTATCTATCTATCTATCTATCTATCTATCTAGTGTGTGGAAGAGTATGGGCTCATGCATGCCTCAGTGTACCTGGTGAGGTCAGCAGATAACTTTCAGAAGTTGGTTCTCTGCTTCTACTGTGAGGGTCTTGAAGGTTGAATTCAAGTGTCAGGCTTGGTTGCAAATGCCCTTCCCTGCTAAGCCATTTTGTCAGCTATCCACCATATTTTATTGAGATAGTCTTTCAGTAAACCCGGGGCCTACCAATTAGGCTGGGCTAGCTGGTCAAGGAGATCTAGGAACCTTCCGGTCTCTCCTTTCCAGGAGCATACACATCGCACTCATCTTCCTATGTGGGTGCTAGGGATCCAAATCCAGGTCCTCATGGTGGCATTGCAAGCGCTTTGCCAACTGAGCCATCTCTCCAGCTAAACAAATTCTTTTGAATAGATTTTAAAATAAACTGCAATATCTAAGAATAAGTGCATACTATAAAAAAATTGTGATTTTGGTATTCCATGGAATCTACTTAGGCAGGAAAATAATTCAGTGTGGGGATACAGCATATGTAGCAAACCGTCATGCCCCAATAGCAAGCTCGCATAGTGAATTTGCCAAGGTAGTGACATATATACGATATTTAGAATTGAATGGTAATGCTTTCCTAAAAACCAGGTTATTGATTATTTTTTGGGAGTCATATTCTGCCGAACAAGTATCGCTGTCACTCATTATCTTCTGGCTGGCTTTGATTCAAGGTCATCCTAAAGTTTGGTTTCTATTTCAGCCTCACATTGATTCACTCAGTTCAAATCCCTGAGGCGGTTTCCTCATTCTAAAATGGGGTTAGAGATGCCTGATTGTTCGCTACCTCTGGCAGACAGGAAACTAACCAAGTGGACACAGCCAGAACTCTGGGCTCTTTACTCAAGAAGCAATGTAACGATACCGTGGGCTCTTTTTTTTTTCTTTAATGATACATTTATCTATTAAATGCAAAAATGAATACCTTGACAGTGAATTTTGTATCCAGTTGTTAACATTAAGTCAGTGTGAGATCTAGAGATTCAGTTTTATCTGCTTGATTCTGTGACTTTTGGATCTGCAGCCGTTTGGTCCTCCTGTCACGGAAGTGTTTCCCAGAATGCTGTAACATTCCCCTAAGATGGGAATCCCAATAACGGGTCACAGCTGGCACCAATTTGCTAATTTGTCAAAGTACTACCAAAAAAAAAAAAACCCAAACAAACAAACAAATAAACAAAAAAAACCCAGGCTTTTTGAACTCTGAAGTTCTCTACTCCTTCTTGGAGTCAGGTTCTGCTTTTATTTCTATTTAATATAGAAATAAAAAACCCGTGGCATGAGAGTTCGTAGGAAGAAAAGGGTATTTAGGGTCACTGGAAGAGGAACTTGAGCTTTTAGGATTTGGGCATCTATTCCCCCTGTGAGAAGAGCAAAGCAATCTGAACCCAGGCCACCTTAAAAGATGCCGACAGTGTTCTAAGAGTCGAATTAAGTTGGGTTGGTATCGCGAGTCAGTCAGGCCTGATTAAACTTCTCCATGGGGATTTCACATGTGCATGTCCTTGACAGCACTAATGGGATGTGTGCAGAGCTTCTGATTAAGACACGTGCTACCCCAAGGAGTAAAGAGTACAGAGTTCCTGAATGACTGGGACCCAGAACCGTGGGTGTTAGTCTAGAACCCGCTCTTCTGTTGTTCTTCACACCGAGGTCTCTGTCCTTCCCACCCAGCTTTTTTTCATTTCATGGGACCAGGTAATTATTTTTTTCCCCCATTCTCGACCTCTGGAGCATCTTTGCTGCCCTTGATCTGCTGCTGCTCTGAATGCTTATTTAATTATTTCTCAAAGATGTGCTTATTCACTATGCACAGATTCTGTGCAGCTGCGGGGGCGGGGGGAGCACAGGCGAAAGAAGCCATGGTCTGTCTCTGGTGGAGAATGAAGGTCTTTGAGAAGTCAGGTGAGCTCACAGATAAGGCAAGGAGAAAACTAGTGTTCTTATCACACAGCAGCCGGGCTTGGAATTGCAAATGAAATGCTGATTTCCAATTCTGCTCTCCTCAGTGTCAGAAGTCCTACTGGTCGGGGAGGACGGTTTCCAGCAGCCATGGAGCAGGCTTGTGGATGGTGAAGTGCAGAATATTAGCTGGTAGTCAGATCTATGGGCCTGATTTTGTTCCCGGTTTACTCTTAAATGCTTAGGTGACCTTCATGGAAACCTTGGCTATTTAGGAAATCAGATTCCACACTTGTCCAACAAAGGAGCTGGAGCAGGAGGTGACAGAGGCTGGATTTAGTTCTACCTTTGTCCCTGAGTGCTCTCTGGAGCAGACGTGAGGCTAGGTGATAGCCAATCACCTGTGGCAGGTGGTTTGCCTAGGCACTGCCAGGAGGGTTATGTAAGAGAGCTTTTCAGCTGAAATGGCTCCAGCAGCCAGAAGGGGGACCAAAGCACCTGTGTTCTTTCTTTCAAGCACTACATGGGCTCAAATCTCAGGCAAAAGAAGGCAACTTTGCTATCTTCAAAACCCTAGAATTAAAAAAAAAGATATGGTGGAAAATATTTAGAGTTGTCTTTATTTCCCATTGTATTTGTTTACAGATGAGTGCAGAGGAAAAGCTCTCATGGAGGCCTGAGAGCTAATCATTTGCTAAGTGCTTTTCTTAGACGCTAACAAACGCAACTGAAATTGACACTGCTGATGGCTTCATTAGCAAGAAGGATGTCTAATAGGTGCTCATTTGGAAGCTTTTCCCTGTTCATCCAATTACAATTAGACTCGATGCCTGAATCGTGCATGTAGTCTGCCCTGAAGGGGGATGTGAGTGTATGTGTGTGGTGTGTCTGTGTGTGTTCACATGCCCAGAAGCCTTTCTGCACTGAAGCTTACACCTAACAGAACCAAGCCTCCTAATTTGTGGGAAGTCCGCTAGGCAGTTGGAAGACAGGAAAAACAGTGTGCTCATCTTTTGTTTTATTTTTCATGAAGTTCAGGCATGTGCCTGTCTGTCTTGCTTTTAGAGGGATATTTAGCCCTGAGCTCTGAAGAAATATTCTCTTTCTGCTTTCCCTTCCCTTCTTTCCTTCCCTCCTCCCTCCCTCTCTATCCTCTTCTCCCCCACCCCTTTCTCCTTTTCATTCTGTTTACCTCCTCCTTTTGTCTTTGTCTTGCTCTTGCA